CTAATTAAGTTATATTTCTGCGCGAAAATGTGAGAAAATATCACGTTTTTAATTTTTTAACATTAACGCTTATTTCCAAAAGGTCTGAAGTAATTTGAAGTAAATAATAATGGAAAGATATTGTGACAAAAAAATAAAATTATAGTAACTCAATTTCATTTAAATATCAGCAATTTTAAACTTCTTGAATTTTTTAAAATTTTCGAATTTGTATTTTAAAAACCTTTAAAAATTTTCAGAAATGTTTCTTGAAGAATAGAACATCACTGATTTTTTGCATAATTTTTCATAAATTAGGAAAAGAAAAAAATAATGAAATTGATTTAAAAAATGTTTTTAATTATTACTCTCGCGATGGTGAGGATAGAGAGTAGCGAATAAAGCTTAGAGAAGATATTTCTTTCATGAAGGCCTAACAATCGACGTATAGCAAGTCTAACTTGGCGTGGCAAGCAAATTTCATACACATATTCTATTACATTCTTTGCAATAATACCTTTTGAAAGTCCGCCATTCTTATAACTTCAGGATCTATTTTCATGGCATGACCACGCAAGACAGGATCGCCAACTTGACAAACGTGCGCATATGGTAACTCGTTGGAATTCATACCCAGCAGTCGTTGGATTGTCTCTTTCATTTTAAGAATATTTACGAATCTTGCACTGTTTCTTTTAACGGTAACGACACGCGAGGTTACATTAGTGAAATTATATATTCGGAACATTGTATTCGATGCTTGGATATCACTGCATATGCGATATTTTTTTAATTCCAAAAGTGAGGTTATCCACTATCTATCACATTGATATTTCTGTTCTCTTGTGTTTTCCGACCTGACGATGACGAAATACGAGAGACTTACAGCGCCGAATACGTAGTTTCGTTATCAACGAGTTATCATCCAACATGAAGCGACTGCCGGAAGAAACTTGATCGATAACATCGCGACGAGTATTTTGCACCATTTAACAAGAAATCTGTTTTTTTGTTCCCGCACTAGAATTTTCTTTTTCGTTTTCATCAAATATCAAATATATATCTATTTTAAGTTTCAAAAGTGTGCTTTTCAGCTACAGAAAAAAACCAAAAGTATTATTATTAACTATACTAAATTCAAATATAAATCAGTAACTTTCCGCAATTATCAAAATCAAATACAAAAAAAAACATAGACCTATTTGATGTAAATATCCGAGAAATCGATCAGTAATTAATGCGATTACTCGATTTAGAAATGCAATAACAAATTTGAAATTATTAGTTAAGTTAGGCATATTAAATAGATACATAAATTTATGGCACAATTATTACAAATTAATATATAACACTGCTACGAACTCGCTATTCAGAGATGATAACAGAAATAATTCTCTTTTTAAATAAGCCTGTAATATTATTGCGCCATAAATACATATATGTATGTTTTACAAAATGTCTAAAATTGGATTGTGTTCCACCTTTCAATAAATTTCAGCTCACTCTCTAACTCTCTTATTACTCTCTTATGTTCTCATAATCTTTTATTGTTTTGTTTATCCATTGGCTAAATTACCGCATAGTTTATCCAAAAATGGAACAATCAGCTCTAAGTAATATTAAAAAATGTATGTTAAACATAAACAATTTATATTTACTCTAATAACACAGAAAGATTCTGTAATGTTGCATAAACATAACATTAAAACATTAAAATTATCACATTACGTTGCATGATATTTCTAAGAAGTCTCTGCAAGATTGCGGACATCAAAATGTCCACAAGAAACGTTTCTGAAATATTATAAAAACATTTGTAAAATCTTTCGGTTGTAAATACAAATTATTTGAAATCAAAAGACTGAAAATAGTTTGTACCTGATAATTCAAATACTAATTAATATAATTGATTAATATATTTAGTATTTTGTATGTTAAATATTTTAATAATGTAATTTTGCTCAGCCCGTATGTGCACGGAAATAAATATTGTTAATAAAAAAGTAAATATTTTATTAAATCGTAATATTTTATTCTTATTAATATTCACAATAGATTTATTTGAACAGTATATTATTAAATCACAGTACCCCACGCATAGTTATCTTTGAAAAAAGACCTTTTCAGAATAGAAGAATAAAAAATATGAGAAGAAGTGTTTGAAGTTCATTATATTCGTCACATTTACCTTCAGCTATTGTATATATAT